AGATTCGACTGCTGTAACCAACTGAGCTACCTCCTGTCTCTTATACACATCTAGATGTGTATAAGAGACAGGGGTGAAAATTCACGACACATGATCCGAAGATCAAAGTCCAAGTACTGACAGCATGGTAACCGCGGACCCGGACACCGGACACTTCCGGACTGTCTTCCGGACCAGTGTCTGGACTTGTCCGGACTGTCCGGTGGGGTGAAACGACATTGAAAAATCAACCCATTATTTTTCTAGGGGAGGCCAGGACCCAATAAACGTCCTGGGCCGCCCCAATTTTTTTATTTTTTTTTGCCCCAGAGGCCTCAATTCAAACATATTGTCCAGACACCAGACACCGGACACCGGACTGTCTGGAACCCGGTCCGGACGTCCGGACGGTTACCATGACCGACAGTAATCTTTTTATTAGAGAGAGTAAATCCAGAAGGGCGCCATAAGATGGGAAGGAGCGACCGAGGGAGGGAGGGAGGGAGGGAGGGAGGGAGGGAGGGAGGGGAAACAAATGGAGGGGGAATGTACCTCTGGCCGCTTTGTAACCGGTGCATAGCTGTCATCATCCTCTGCGACAACAAGGATTTGATCCCCCGGCTGGATCTTGTAACTGTCCTTGGGATTCAAATAAATCCTTTCTTCAGCGGCGGAGCGCACCCCGCAGGGAATTGCATCAGGGAAAGAGATGAGTACATCCTCAAATCTCAATCCCACCAACTCCGGCCATTCCTTCAGATAAAACTCCGAGTTCTCGAATCCCAAAATACTCTCCCAGATCTGCAAATATGCATGCAGGTAAAAAGACGAGAACATTGTAAAAAGACGAGAACATTGAGCAACACACAAAAAAAAAAAGTAAAAAAAAAAAAAACAGGTTTAAAAACGCAAAACAGGAAAAAAAAAAAAAAAAGAAACAAAACCAATAACAAAAAAGACAAGGCAAAAAATCAAGACACGGCTAAAAACGACAAGACGAGAAAAATTTAAGCAATGCAAGGAACACCGATTCTACACAGCATTCCTTCACTGACGCAGTTTAGTAGGAGGGGCGTCGCCCTCGGCTGTGAAGGCTCCTCTCTATCTACGGTCTCTATCTCTTAATCCGTGCAGGTGGGACCTAGCCCCCGGTCAAGAACCAGGGAAGGTCCCAGCCAAAAAAAGAAAAAAAAACCTCCAAAAACTCCGAAAAAAAACTGTGTTATGCAGAAAAATAAACTGAACAACTTTTGCGGCTTTGCCTCAGGGTCACATTTACCAAATTTACAATAAAAAATAAAAATTAAAAACTAATTTTTATTTTTTTATTTTTTTATTTCTTTTTGGCCCGGCCGGGCAAGTGGACCCGGGCCACTCTGGTAGCCTAGTCTCCTAAAGCTTTTTCTTGAAATTTCTTCTTTTTTTTTTCTTTTTTTTTGGGTTGGGTTGTGGGGGGGAGGGGGTGGGGAATGCTTTCCTCCCAAATCTGCAGATGTGCAGGTAAGAAGAAAAAAAACAAGACAGGCAAAGGAGAAAGACAAAAACAAGACCACGGATTTTTTTTTTTTAAACAAACAAAAGGAACACCGATATACTAGAGACCCCTCTGCATTGCACAACAAAACTTTACCCTCGCAGGTATATCGGCACTACCCGCTTCCCTCGAATAGAACACATGGTCAGTATAAAAACTAGCTCAGTCTACTTTCTTCACCCGAAAACAATGTGCGGCCAGCATTGTTGTATCTAGACTGAAAGTTGCCCCAAATGCATCTAAAATGACCGTACGTTCTCTTCGGGTGAAGACGGTAGCTGTAAACTTCTTTTTTTTTGCCGGGTACCTTGCCTTGCTGTCGAGGCACAGCAATAATGACTGGGGCCAACTTGGCAGCCGGGGGCATTTTGGTTCACCACATCCACTGCATGCACCTGCGTGCAAACTTGTAGCGACGACTACGTATGAAACAGCTTATTCTGTCCCGATACAGAATAGTGAAATCAGACTCGCATTCATTCACGCTTTACATGTATGCAAACAGGTGCGCAGCAAACTGGCGACAAGCGCCCACCCAGAACTCAGAGATATGGCAACCAAGAACACAACTCAGATACAAGTTCACTTCGAGGGCTATGGCGACTCAGCGCCCATACAACTCTCTGTTTGCACACACAAGATCACCCTGGATATCCCACACGCGATACTCTGTACACATACACATACACACACACACACACTGCACGCTATCTACAGCTATGGCGGCTGTGGCCGCTGCTACCCTATCGCTATGGCTAAGCTCCTTCTCTCTTGCCCACTTCGTCTTCGGGCTCACTGCAGACCACCTCGCACAAGTCGCTGTGGCAGCGCTTCCGCATGGCTCACACAGGAATGAATGAATGGCTGGACGCTGCCCTTTTATTTATACTTCTGTAGCTCGTTGGTCTGGCCCTTTTCCTTGCCCGTGGTGCACACAACAGTCCCATGCGGTGCTTGCTTGACTGGACTAGGACTGACTGGGATCGGTACTGCTGACTGCATGGGTTTGCACTGCCAACTCGATGCAGTCGCACTGCCAACGTACGGCAGTTGGCCTCACCACTTGCCCACTTGCCCACTTGCCTCAGCCAAATCGTGAGCAACTTCGAAAGGCCACTACTAGGACCTTCCGGAAGTCTGGGTCCTGGCCTTTCGAAGACTGTAGCAGCTACGACCTTGACCCTTCAGGACTGTAGCAGCTACGACTTCAAGAACCCCCTAAGACTTCTACTTGACAGGTCTACAGATCGAACCCCTGCTACCTACAGACCCTACAACAGCCTACCAACTGTTACAAACACACAGGTCACGGGTTCAACTCTCGGGGTCGACACAGATACAGTACACATGTAAGGCGAGGACTAGGGATCGAGCCCTGGGATCTGCATCGGGTACTGCAAACTGGTGAATACCGTTTCAATAGTCAGCTGTGTAAAAAAATAAAAAATAAGAAGGCAAACCCACCGGGGAAAGCCTAAAGCATCCGATCACCCTCGTTGACTACGGAGTCTGGACGAAGCAACTTTTTCTTTCTGATCATCAAGATTATTGTGGGATGCAGGGGGAGGAGGCATAAGGAGTGAGCACACACATCATCATACACACACACATGCACGCACACACACGCGCGCGCACACACACACACACACACACACACACACAGGCATGCACATAACACACACACAGAAAATGTGAGATGCACTGGGTTCGAGGGGAGGAGGCGTGAGGAGTGAGCACACACATCATCATCACATGCACACGCACGCACACACACACACACACACACACACACACACACACACACACACACACACACACACACACAC